CACACCAGAGAAACAAGTTGCTATTTACATGTGTGTTTGATTTATTTCACTTAAGAGTATGGTCTCTAGGTGCATCCGTTTAGCTAGAAATGTCTTAAATTTTTTCCTTTTTTATGTCTGAGCAGTAATCCATTGTATAAAAAAAGCCACATATTCTTTATCCATTGAGGGGCATTTTGGTTGTTTCCAAGATTTAGCTATTATAAACTGTGATACTATAAACATCGATGTGCATATATCATTGTGGTGTGATGCTCTTAATTCTTTTAGGAAGATATCAATGGTATATTCTAGGTCTCTTCTGGTTTCAAATGAATGTTTGTATTATTTTTTCTAGTTATGTGAAATACACTGTTGGAATTTCAATCTGAATGGCTTGAATATCTATAGCAGTTTTGGAAGTATGGTCATTTTCACTATGTTTAGTCTTCCTACCCAGGAGCAGGGGACATCTTTCCATTTTCCCATATTCTCTTCTATCTCTTTTTTCAGAGTGCTGTAGTTTTCAGTGTAGGGGGTCTTTTGCTTCCTTCGTTAGATTGATTTCTGGATACTTCATTTTTTTTGGATGCTATTGTGAAAGCAATTGTTTCCCCAATTTCTCTCTCAGTGAGTCTGGTATTTGTGTACAAGAAGGCTATTTTGACTTTTGAGTGTTGACCTTGTATCCTGCTACTCTGCTAAAAGTGTCAATTAAGTCTAGAAGTCTTTCAGTGGAATTTCTCAGGGTCTTCAATGTAGAGTATCATATTGTCAGCAAATAATGACAGTTTAACTTCTTAATTTTCTATCTTTATTACTTTAATTTCTTTCTCATGTCTAATTGCTGTGGATAATGTTTCCAGAACTGCACTGAACAGAAGTCATGATAGAGGACATCCTTGTCTTATTATTTTAATGTAAAGGTTTTCAGTATTTGGCCAATTAATATGATGTTGGCTATTGGTTTTTCATAAATAGCCTTTATCAAGTTGAGACCATCTATTCCAATTTTTGCAGGTATTTTTTTTTATCATGAATGGGTGTTGAATTTTGTCAAATGCTTTTTCTGCATCTATTAGGATGATCATATGTTTTTTGTCCTTGATTCTGTTAAGATAGTGTTTTACATTTATTGATTTACATATGTTGAACCATCCTTGCATCCCTGGAATAAATCTGAATTTGTCAGGATGTATGATCAGAGACACAGCAGGGGGTTTTATAGTTCCCAGTTTGAAACTATACTACAAAGCCACTGTGATAAAAACAGCATGATACTGGCAATGAAATAGACCTGAGGATCAGTGGAATAGATTAGAAAATACAAAAACAATTCCAGATGTACTCAGCTACCTCATCTTTGACAAAGGAGCCAACCATCCTCTCTGGAGGAAATATAGCCTGTTTAATAAATGGTGTTGGAAAAACTGGATTTCAACCTGTCAAAGATTAAAACTAGACTCTTATCTTTCACCACACACTAAACTAAAATCCAAGTGGATTAAAGATATAAATATTAGAAAAGTGACACTAAATTTGCTGGAAGATAAGTCAGGCAGAACCCTTGAAGACATTGGCATAGGAAAAGATTATGAAAAAGTCCTCAGTAGCATGGGAACTAGCACAAAGAATCAACAACTGGGATCTTATCTAATTTAAAACTTCGGCATTTCAAAAGAAAACACCAACAGAGCTAAGAGTCAACCTACAATGTGGAATTTTTACCAGCTGCTCCTCAGACAAAGGACTATTATATAGAATATATAAAGGACTCAAAAAATTCAGGCCACCCAAATATAAAGACCTGATTCAAAAATGGTCATCTGAAATGAACAGACATTTATCAGACAAAGAAGTAAAAGCAGCAAATAAATATATGAAAAAATGTTCAATTTCATTGGTCATTTGAGAGATGCAGATGAAAACAACACTGAGATTCCACCTCATCCCACAAAGAATGGCTGCTATCAAGAAATCAACCAATAACAAAAGTTGGCAGGCCTGAGGGGAGAAAGGAATCTTTCTGCATAGTTGGTGGGAGTGCAGACTGGTGAAACCACTATGAAAATCAGTATGGAGATACCTCAAAGAACTAGGATTAGAGGTTCCATTTGATCCATCTATCCCTCTGCTGGGTATCTTTCCAAAAGAATTAAAAAATCATATCACAGTGATATATGCTCACCCATGTTTAGAGAGGCATGGTTTGTTATAGCTAAAACTTGGAAACAGACCAATTGCCCATCTTTTGGAGCTCGAATAACAAAGATATGGTTTTTCTATAAAATGGAATACTACTCAGCCATAAAGAATGAGAAAATAGAGTCATTCATAGGAAAATAGATGCATATTGAGGTCATATTCTTTTTTTGTTTTTGGTTTTTTGTTTTTTTTTTTTGGTACTGGGGATTGAACTCGGGTCCTTGTGCTTGCAAGGCAGGCCACCAAACCTCTGAGTTAAATCCCTAGCACTCAAGGTCATACTCTTAAGTGAAATGAATAACTCACACATGTGTAAATACCAAATAGTTTCTCTAGTGTGAAAAATAAAAGTGCAAATAAGATCCAAATGGTATAACTGACAATGTGAAATAGGAAGAAAAGGGCTGAAGGTGTAGGGGAAGTGGAAAGGGTAGGGGAAAGGAAATAAGGGAAAAGAAATAAGAAATTTGAGAAAATGAAAAAATGGAAACAAAGTCTTTGCAAATAGGAAAGGGAGAAGGGGGTGAAAGGAGGGGGAAAAACGAGAACCAAGACCCATCATGTAAAATTACAAGATCCCAATGATGAATTTACTGTATACCTAAAAAGTACCAATAAACTCATTGAGAAAAAAAAAGGGGGGGATAGCTTGGTAAAATGGAACCTCTAGTCCTAGTTTTTGAGGAATCTCCACACTGATTTCCATAGTGGTTGCACCAGTCTCCCACCAACAGTGGAGAAGGTTTTTTTTCCCCTATAGACCCATGAGAATTTGTTATTGGTTGATTTCTTGATAGCAGAGATTCTTTCTGGAGTGAGATGGAATCTCAGCATTGTTTCAATTTGTGTCTCTTGAATGTCCAGTGAGACTGAGTATTTTTTCATGTATTATTTGCCATTTGTGATCTTATAATTTAGGCTATTCATACTCATAGTGAATTGCAGTGTTAAAAATAGAAAAATAATAGAAAGACAACTTAGGTGATTTTGTGGAAATCACACATTTTATTTTTTTATCATAATTTAGATAACTACATAAGAATATGTGGAAACATAGATTATAAGCACAGAGGAAGGACTATGATATGTAGTACCTTTTCCCTTTCTCAATTGTGGTTTTGAAATAGAATTATGCAGAGATGCTCAAAAGGATCCTTTATATATGACAAACCAATCTTTGTCTCCTACATATCATCTTTGGGAGAATTAAGAGGACATTCACTCAAATTGTTTTCTATGGTCTATGGGCTAAACAAGATTTAGATTGCATATATGTATCACCACACACACACACACACACACACACACACACACACTTGACACAACAAATGTAAAAATTATATGTATAAATATAAACTCAAATTACATATATGCACATACAATGTATAGACTGTATTCTACATGCTTTGGAATATGAGGGCATCATAATTATTCTTCAAGTAACAGTAATGGTTTGTGGCAAATGTAGGATCTAAGAGAAGTGCATTAATCGGTTTCAAACAGTAAAATGAGACAGTGTACAGAGAAAGTAACTAAATGACAAATTCTCACAGGCCAATATGTGTGTCTCTTATTAATTATACATTAACTATTGCTTTTGGCTGATTCAAAAATTTCTGAAACATGTGTTGAACTGTAAAGTTTATTGGACTGTTGACTAATGCTAAGAAGTACTCATAATTGGCATAATGTCCACATGGCCTCAGCTCTAATGCGTGCTGTAGATCAATTACTCTACCCTTCTGGTGACATTAAGCACTCCTTGATTATGTGAACTGGCTTTGGTGACATTGCTGGGGTGTCAGATAGTGGCTACAGATGCTGTTTGGGTAATTTGGGGTTGTGATGAGGAAGTTAGGAACAGATGCAGTTGAGGATCTCCAGGATTTCTATGAAATTGTGTATTGTAATGACTAACTCACTTACTGCACTGTCCCAAAATACAGATTCCTAATCAGTCATTCAAAACAGAGAATGGACAAAATAAATATAGTAAAAGCAAGTCTCTAACATTTGACTCTGGTGGTACCTGTTTAGAAAGTTTGAAGGTTTTAGATATCAGAAAATATTCAGGGACCCATGTGCCAAGCCAATTAGCAGACCATGCCCTTGCATTTTGACATGCCATAATAATTTATACTTGAAAGAAATTTCACATGTATTTACCAGAAAACAAATTCTAATTTACCAGACTTTTCTTTCCAAATCTCTCAAAGATCAGGAAGGTGACTGTCTGAAACTTGTTTTACTGTTCAAATCTAATTTATTTCTGTCACCTGTTATTTTTCTCCTTGGATATTTTTGAAGTCATTTTTGGTCCATTTGATACTACTATATAATAAAAGCTTCATATCCTATGGTGTAATTGACTCTGGGTTTGACAGTTCAACAAATACACAATAAGAGTCCACTGTGTGCCAATAGCTGTGATATTTATTTTTCCAAGAAAAATGCTTATGCCTAACTGTTATAAATTCTCCATCTGTTTGTTTAGGAATTCATCCCTTTGTTACTATGATTGCTGACAATTTTCCTTTTAGATGAAAGGTTTCAGAGAAACAAAAATTTTGCCCTTGGGTTTTTAATGCTCTTTTAGTGATATTTTTTGGGGTAATTTAATAAATATAAATTATATTTGAATAGTCTTTTGTGGCAAACTGATGTTTTAATATAGCCTTTTAAGAGAAACATAAATTTCTAAATTTAGAGTGAGCATGTCTGTAAACATTTTAATTGTCTAAAGCCATATATTTATCAGGATTATTATGTTTGCAGAACCTTTTTTTATTTCAGAATTATTTGTTTGTTTGCTTTAGTCTCCTGAACAACAATCAAATCAGGAAGATTTCCAGGACTGCTTTTGAAGGACTTGAAAATTTGCTCTATCTGTAAGTTGTAAGGTAAACCTATGAAGGCTTATGATGCTGATGATTTTTGGGGGGGCGTTTTTCTTGTTATAAGCAAAACTCTTCACCTTTTTGAGAAGAATTCAAACTTTGCACAGAACTCATATATGAACAACTATAAGAACAGGAAATTTTTACTTTTGTGCATCTGATGTTTGAGTGTTTATGCACATTTCTCTCCTGCCACCACTGCCACAAGAATTTTAAATAGAAGAAAAATGAAACAAAAGACTTCACCCAGTATTTTATATTAAAATCAAATCAATGCTTGTAAAAATTCCTATACATCCCAAAGTAGCTTTATGTCAACAATCCAGTCACACAAAACTTTTCAAAGCCAGTGAACTAATTGTAATTTGGAACTTCAATGACCTTAGGTGCAAAACAAATTTTGGAAAAATTAGCTAGCAGATATGAGAATTGAAAGAAACCTGAGAAATAGACCATTATAGGTCTAGGTCTACTCCAAAGACTTCAGGTTTTTCTTTCTTTTCTTTTTTTGCGGGGGTAGTGGTGCTGGGGATAGAACTCAGGCCCTTGTGTTTGCAAGGCAGGTGGTGGCACCACTGAGCTAAATGTATGGCTGTATGGCCATTCAATCATATGATACCTGCACATCCAATTCTGTTTTTCCTTTGTATTTTATACTTAATTCATTATTCTTTTATTTCTTTAGACTTAAGCAGTGCTTACCATCTACCTTGTTAGCCTAAACATACGTTACTAATTGCTTTATCTTGCTTATTTTTCCTACATATCTTGAATCTCAGTTTTCATGTCATGTCCCGTAGGAACCACTTAGTCAGTGAACATGTTTTCATTTATCGTGGTGTTTTGTTTACCTCATTTACATATATCATAAAAGCTTACTTTTCTAACAGATTTATTATCTTGCTTGTTTTTGGGCTTCTCCACTAGATTTTATGAAGGCATGTGGCCATGTTCTTATTTACCACATATTCCAGCATCTAAAACCAGCATTTGGAACACAGTAACTACTCACAAAATATTCGTTGAACAAATATATGAATATAAGACATAAATAAATGCTTGGAATTTGATTAATAATCTTAGTTATGATGACTACACCTTTTTTGGTAGTAGAGAACTGAACCTAGGGCCTGCATGCTGAGCTATCTCCCCGGCCCTTTTTAAGATTTTATTCTGAGACAGGGTCTCAGTAAGTCATTAAGTTGCAGGTGTACACTGCCAACCTCAGTTTGAGTTCATTATTTTTAACTATTGCCTCTGTTCATCAGCAAAATGTGTATTTATCAATTGTTTATAGTGTGCCTCTTCCCTAGGCTTTTCACTGTTTACGATACATAAAACAGTTAAAAAAGCTTTCATACTCATGTGCTTAACTCTCATTAGACTAAATATTACACAGCACTTCACTTTTACCTTCTCAAACACAGAGGTCAATACATTTTTTTCTCTAAGCCGAAAGCACTTCTAAGCTCATGTGAAATTCTAACATGTTTTGACTCAAAAAGTATCATTGATCTCCTTGGGCATAAACAAATAGTATCTTAGGAAAAATTTTGCTTTCTGGTTCTCAAGGAATAAAAATACAATTATTTGAGAATATCCATTGGAGCTGTGGTTCACTTAAGGTTAGCTGAATTTCAGAGTGAAGACTCATTGAAGACTTGAGAGTAAAATATTCCTTTTCTTTGGTTTAGCAGACCAGCAACTCTGAAGAGTAGCATTCTTGGTATTTATTCCTTTTAAACAAATTTGAGTTAATCTAATGGTGATCTCCAAAATGATTTTTTTAAAACTCAGAAGCATTTTGGTATCCCAGTGGTGATGATCTTATTACAATTATTGATTATTAAATAAATTTTTCAAAAAATTAACCATGAGGTAAAATCTCTGGCATATCTGTGGGTGTGTGAAATAAGTTGGGCACTGTTTGCTAATGTTAAAGAGGGAATTTAATTTACACTGAAATCCGCAATTCCATTTCTGGCAATGGCTCCCATTTCCTAAATTTGATTAGTTCTTTGATTTATAGCTTCTTCTGACATCTAGCCTAACCCCAGCCATTTTGTCCTCATGAACTCTCAGGGTTCTGAATGTTAGTCCCTTCTTAAATCACTGTTTTAATGTATCACTTGCAGTCGTATACTTAGCATTGATGTTCATCTTTCCTCAGTCTCTGAATTTATTTGGAATCTGCCTCACTTCTTTCCAAAACTATAGATGAAAAGATATTCATGTCTTTGAAGTATAGAGTAAATTCCATTAAAACTAAAGAATCTGAGCTTTAATAATGTAATCTTGAGACCACAACTCTTGCCATGTCTAGTTACACTCTCCCTGAGTTTGAAGGACAGTCTGACAAAATGAGTCAAATTTCATAGGGTTTCTTATTCTATTGGTTAGTTTTTGCCACTAAAAATCACTGCAGAACTTAATGGCTTAAAAGAGTAGAGCCATTATTTTTCATAATCAATTCATAATTGAGGTGATTCAGTTCTGGTGTCCACCTAATCAGACCTTCTGGTTTAGAGTGGTTTCTCTCACACATGTGGTAATTGCATAGCATTGAGAAAACTTTGTCTTCCATGTGGTCTCCATTTCTCTAGCCAGACTATGCTTATTCAAAATGTGATTCAAGAATTGGAAGAACATTTGGATAAGTGAAGTGGTAAAATAATCTTGCAAAATGATGTGGATCAGGGTTAGGGGAAATTTGTGGCTATTTCTACAATTTACCACATTCATATAAATACCAGGGGTTTCCAAGGGTTGAGGTCCAGGCTACAATTACAGTCATCAGGATGGACTTATGCAATGGGCATAGTAGGAGTCAAAGGGAGAAGAAGCCACGTCGGGTATGGGAGGCACAAATAGTTATAGCTTATGTCTAGCTGTCACCCCAAAGCCTCATACATGCAGAACTGGGCATTGTGGAGGTGAGTGAATCATGGGGTGGGTCACTATATTCATTTAGTTCACCAAAGAGTTTGTAGCTAAATGTGTTGTTAGAAGATGCGGCTGGTCAGAAGAGGCAGACCACTGAGGATGTGTCCTGAAAGGGCGTGTCTTCCTCCCTGGCTCCTCTCTTTTACTCTCTGCTTCCTGACCACCAAGATGAGAACAGCTTTCCTCTGCTAGGCCTTTTCGCTATGTCTTCCTGCTTCAGAGCCAGCTGACTATGAACTCAAAATGTGAGTCAAAATAAACTTGCCCTTGAAGCTGCAAGTGTTGGGAATTATGTCTCAATGACTAGGAAAGAGACTAAGATACAAGGGTGGAGGGCAGGAAGGCTTAAAGGAGACAGCAATACTTTTGCTTACCTTTGAAAAAAGGATATGTGAAAAAAGGTACAAAACGATCTGGTATGTTTGGGAAATGGCATGTATTTTTGAATGACTGGATTGTAGGGCCTGAATGGAACAGGAAGAGAAATAAGGCTGATGAATTCTACAAGGGCTAGAAAATAGAGGTGAAGGGTTCACGTACTAGGTTCCCTGAAACTTTATATTTGCCTTTTATTTTGCTAATCACTCCACAATTGTCCTCCATTCCTACCACTCAACCAAAAGTTCTTTGACAAAGGTCACTTATGTTGTTAAACAAATAGAAAGTATTCCCTCACACGTCATGTTTAATCATGCCTCATGGTCTCTTCTCTTGGCCACTAGCAATCTTGATCTTTTTTGTTCCTGGTTTGCCTTTTCCTGGTGGGCCAACTCAGATTCCCTCATCCAGAGTTCTCTCTTGTGCTTTGCTTCTCTGTAGTTGGACATAATCTCCTTCCATGGTGTCAGTTATGCTGTCTCTCAACTCTCTTGCTAGACTGAATTACTAGTATGTTTCCAATCTATACACACCCATTTGTATACTCAATATTTCTCTTGACAAGTCCTACAGGAGCTTCAAATTCAACATGGCAAATGTAACTCTTTCTCCTTTCAGTCCCCCTCATTTTATCCCCTGGTTTTATTTTGGGAAATGATGACAGACTTATGCAGTCATCTGAAATAAATTTCTATGCATCATATTGGCATCCTCCTTCCTTCCCTCCACTGTATCTGGTAGAAGTCAAGTACTTTAAATTTCCACATAAGCATCACTCATATCTATCCTTACTTTGATGCTTTACCTTTAATACTCACTATAGGTTACCTTTACTGTTACTCATCTTTCTTCTTCTAAACCACTGAAGGATAACCAGCTATCTTTGCAAAACAAAGACTTGAGCATATTTTATGAGTTCTTCAGTGGTTCTTTATTGCTTTTGGAATCAAATAAAAATCTCTTTCACATAGCATACAAAATTCAGCTATAACATATAAAATTAACATGTAAATTATGTCATATCTTCAGTCTGCTTGACCGTTATTACCTGTCTCTTTGATGGAAAGTTCCTGACACATGGCTTTTGATATGTTTTCTATTTATTTAACTTCAAAGTATGGCTTCGCTGTGTATCCATTAGCTATAAATGTCTCTAGTTTCTCATTCTTTATGTCTGAGTAGTATTTAATTTTATTTAAAAAAATCACATGTTTTTTATCCAATCTCCAGTTGATGGGCAATAGGACTGTTTCCAAGTTTTAGATATTATAAACTGCTACTATGGACATGGGTGGACACATATCACTGTAGTATGATTCTTTTAATTCTTTTGGGAAGATACCCAGCATGGGAATACCTGGGGCAAATGAAACCTCTAATCCTTGTTTATTGAGGTGACTCCATACTGATTTTCACAGTAGTTGCACCAGTCTATACTCCCTCCAGCAGTGGGGAAGGGTTCCTTTTCCCCCACAGCCCCTCCAGCATTTGTTATTGGTTGATTTCTTGATAGCAGCCATTATTTCTGAGGTGCCATGGAACCTTAGCATTGCTTTCATTTGCAACTCTCAATTGACCAGTTATGTTGAACATATTATCATATGTTTATTTGCTACTTATAATTCTTTGTATGAGAAATGTCCATTTCAGATGCCCATTTTTGGATTGGA